AATGTAACCTGGTACTTTTGTGGTTCCATAAACTTACCTAATTGCAAACCACAAAATAACTTGTTTTGAAAAACCATATAAGCAATAATAATAAAACATGCGAATTTCTGTAGTACACCTAATGAGCTAATACGGCAACTGGAGACATTTATTGCTACATTAGCAGACAAAAGGCGTACTATGTGTACGACGAAGATTAAGCGTCGAATGCCATTTACACCATTAAATGACGAGGGCAGAAGCGGCGGGATGGGGAATTGAATGCGTGCATTTCTTTTACGGCGAGACGCGCAGTCTACATCATTAGCGAGTGCAATGGGGCGACTCGGTCCGGGTGGATCACTCAAAGCCGACAACCAGCGCCGTTTCCAGATGATGCTCTATGCAATCTCTTATTTTGTACGAGAAAAAAACTCGTCATTTCGTCTAGTACTGCTGCATTATTTAAATGGTCACTAAATCTAGATACAGGATAAATTGAACAGACACGTTTACGTCCATACCTGACGCCTATAGACTTTTAGAGATTGACGTTCTTTCATAGCTAACGTTTAGATATTAGTAGTTATCAGGTGAAGTAAATCAATGTCACTTAGTCTTACACTAACATTTGTTAATAGTTCTTCATTCTCCATCTTCCCTTGAGCTGACGAAAGTTTAAAATGTTTTCAATTAAGGGGCTGGCTAATGACGGAGCAAATAAGCAAGCTCTTTCTGATCTAATTTCGTTCAAAAGGCGCCGACGTCTGTAAGCATTTTTTAATTTTGTCGCAGAGAACTTTGGCATGTTGTTCATCAGTTGAATGACATAGGATACGACACGCCTATTTGTAGGTCGCTCTTGAGGGTTGACACTGCACTCACAAAGAAAATGTTAATTTGACAATACACGATACACCTCGCTATATTCTCTGTAATTAAAATATTTTTTTAATTCATAAATAACAGCCGCACAAAAAAAGTTGTCTGTACTTTTAATGCGACATATGTTATCCATAGTATTTTTGCCTCCTGATGACAATCCGTTGTCAGAATTGAGGTATCACATCACAGGAATTTCCTAACCTCAAAGAACAGGTCAAAAATAGCAAAAATTCACGAGAAAGTGCTAGGTAAAACACAAAAATTTTTTTTCTATATTCAAATCTTCATTTATATGGTTAAGCCGAAAAAAGAAGGTTAAAACATGATTGGGTAAGTGCTCAGGCACAGAATATCGTAACTACAAAAATATTTGTTCAAAGGTGGACTTCAGATAACTTTATTTGTTATCTTTGTATAAAATGTTACAAATACAGGGTGGTCCGTAAGTAATAGCCCATAGAGGAATACTGGATTCTTTACTTTCAACATATTTTAATAATAAAAGTTCGTTACTTAAAACTTACTCGTTACTTAAAAGCTTTACGCTACTCGTAAAAAAAGTTACGCTCACATTTACGTCACACACATGGCTTATGTGGTGCCCTCTAGAAAATACATCGAAATAAATAACAGATGATCTCTCGTACCAAAAACATTTACCCTAAAATTTTTACATTCTTATTTCAATAACATAATTATTACCAAAATTTAATTTTTAACTTCGACACCCTGTATCTTTTTTATTATCAACATTTTATTGAGAAATGTTGGCTCCAATCGTAATATTTTGAAGTAAAGAATCTAGTATTTATCTATGGACCATTACTTATGAATAGTAAATAACATTGTGTATTTAATATTAAAAAATAAATATTTTTTTGTGGTATTTGGATTTATTTATAACTATATCCCATCTACACGAAATTTTTAATTATAGTAGTAACAGACGCATATCATGTGTAAATCAAATTAGCTTTTTTTAAATTAAGCGTAAGATCATGCCTTACATCGACAACCAATGTAATATAATTTATGTCAAACTGATTGTTTTATGCCACAAGTTATTGAAAATTGTACTGGAATTATGGATTATATTATTCAATCATATAAAAATTTAAAGGCTTAATATCTCAAAGTAAATTTTATAAACTGTCTTTTCAGTATATCTCTGATAACCTTTCTCTCAGTGTAACATGTTGTTCACCACCGTTCAAGGTCGAATATTTTCACCACGCCAACATCAAAGGAGCCGCCGTTTATGTCGCTTCTGTGTAGTTAGGATATTCTGTGACTCAGGTTATAAAGTAAACAAAACTATTACAAAATGAATTTCGCAATTCTGACCTCGAATTTGTAATCAGCGACCCCCGAAAACTTCCGTATTTTTGAAAATTTGGCCTGCCATCTTGGATCCGCCATCTTGAATTTTGCAAAATTGATCTCGAATCCGTGATCAACGACCCCGAACACCTCCGTATACCAAATTGGCGCAAATCTATTATTTTTTGAAAATTCGTGATATTTGACCTTAATTGAACCGTTTTTTTTGAGGTTAGAACCATCAATTCTGACCGCGTATATTCACGTTCGGCATTTGAATATAGAAAAAATATTTTTATATTTTCCCTAGCACTCTCGTAAATTTTTGCTATTTTTGACCTGTTTTTTGAGGTTAGAAAATTCCTGTGAAGTGATAGCTCAATTCTGACACCGGATTCGTGATCAGGAGGCAAATACACTACGGATAACATAATATCGCATTAAAAGTACAGACAACTTTTTTTTGTGTACCTGTGTAGTGTTACATTTTTTTACGTATGAATATAATCAAGAAATAGATACGTCCCTTTCTTCGCTAAAATTAATTTAAGTCTGAATAAAAATTTAGAAAAGATTAGGAAGAGGAAAGATAGAAAGGAATAACTGCAAATAATAGCGATTTTAACATCAGCACTGATACGTTAGATGGCGCTACGTCAATCGATAAAATCGGTGTGTATTATCAACTGAATCACCAGAGGGAGCAACAGGCGACGGATATTTAATGGGCGGATGCTGAATTAGTTAAATTGTGCGAAAGTTTCTGTTTATTTCAAAAATATTCTAAAACTATTTTTTAAAAGTTGACAATATGAAGGTTTTTAAAAATTATAACGTAGGTAATCTTAAGGATGTACCGAGACCTGACCTTCAAACTTTCCGTTCTTATCTTTGAACTTTCTAGGACTAGTAGCACAAGCAAAACAAGTACCTACACATGAGTAACATTGCGCCTCCTGACGTTGGCGCGTTATTGGTCAATTTTTTAAATTATGTTTACTAAAGGTTAAGCATATTCTTCATGTTGTATTTTGTTTTTTTTGTCGCAGTTTTTAACTATATAATACGAATAGTGACTCATAATTTAATAATCGGCACTAAAAACATAATAAGGATATTAGGCCAATCAATATAGAGGTTTTCTTTGTGACAAAAATACTAGTAGCAAACGGAGTGTGCCGTCGTGTAAAAGACAGTCTATAGATATATGCTTTTATATATTTCCTATTCCAATTTACCATTAATTAATTTTTTATGAACATTTTCATGCAAAAAACACATTTTTTAAAGTTTTTTGCTTATAAAACCTAAACTAACGAAGCAATTTGAATGCTATAAAGAGACGATTTGTAGAGAATCGAAATACGAATAAAATGAGAAGTCGATCGGAAAATCAGAAACGAAGAAAACCCGGAAAATAGGAAAATTTAACGTTTTTTTAAAAACTTATTACTCCGCTAGGTATTTTTTAAGTGACCCTGTACACAAAAGTAGTGATAATTATATTGTACTTTAAGTGTGCACAAAGCAGGTGCTGCCGGGCCATTAGTTTTGGCATAATTGCAATTTCAAAAATTAGAAGTATAAGACTACAAAACGTATATTCTAATTTTCCGATAAAATAAAAATAGGTGAAAAATTCCTCCAAACATGCTCCAAAACGGCCGAGCGCGCGTACGCGGTCGAGTAGTGGGGGAAGATCGGGGGGTAAGGGGCAATGGATCCGTATTTTTGTCACAAAATCACTGATTTAATACACTATTTATTGGCCTATACTGGATATAATAAATAAAAAGAATCATTTTTTGAATGACATCTCATTTTTATCAGTAGAAAGGCACGAATACATCTGAAACTACAGATGGCGCTACCTTAGTGGTCGAAGCGGTTCCGATCGTTCTTTATCTTTGGTCTTACAAGCTATGCTCTCTGTATATCTAATGCTTTGAATTTTCCAATATGCTAAATAATTTTCAGTTTCGAATAATGATGAAGTTCAGATCGAACCTACAACCAGAGTATACTAGCAATTCGCAAGGACACAGACTTTTTATAAATAGGTTTTACAAAGATATAGAATTGTGACCTTAAGCACCAACCATATTGAAAAGGAGTAACATTGCTGTGTGAATCTCTGAGTGCGGAGGAATTTTTAAATAGCTATCTTTAAAAAAATATTTCTTTGAACTTTTACATGCGAAATTGATATAGTTACTCCTCTGTTGCAATTAAAATTGAAAACGGATTTGAGAAATAAGGCAGCATTGATTAATATTATTCATAGTACTAATTAAATCATATTGAATTTCTAAAATCTAACAAAAGGAAGAAAATTTTAACTTTCGAGGTTTTTATTTATTCCTAAAACTGAATTTCAAAGTAAAAATTCGACATTGATTTGGTCAGTTAGATATTAATATACTAAAAGCCTTTTATAAATTAACAGACAAATAATAAAATTAATAGAAGTATTTTCTTGGTAGTTTTTCTTTAGGCAACCAAATATACACCGGTGTTACTAGATTATTTTCAATTTTTAAGAAGAAAATATGTATATTATAAAATTATGGAAAATGTTTGGTATGTTAAAGAATCCGTGCAAATGTTGCAATTTGCAATGAAATTTAAAATATGTAAACAGAATGAAGCAGAAACTGAGAATTTAAACAAAAGTACTCTTTGAATTAACGACTCATTTTAATATTAAAATCCGGAAATTGGGGGAATTTGACCAATTTCATAAACAAAATTTGTAAGATGTTACGGTATTGTATAATTATTGCAATAAAAAGGTTTATAATAAAAAAAAGAGTGCATAAACTTCTTTCATAATATATTTAAAATAATTTTAAATTCGAACATAAGCAACGTAACCTAAAATAAAACATATGGCTGCTTCGTATGGAATGTCCGTGTCAGTTTGGCTCATTTACAATGGCTAATCAAGATTACAGTTACAATAAAAAATTTATTTTCATGGGTACAATAAATGAGTATCATATGACGTAAGTATTATGTAACAATATACCTATCTTTGTATAATATACACGCAGAATACAACAGATTACCATGTTTTCACACAGGCTGGGTTTACACGGAAAATATTTCCATGCTTATCCTACAGGTTTCATCTAATATTAACAAAAATTTAACGGGGAGTCCCTTAACTCGGCCATATCGTCTTTTTATACGCTTTTCGACTAAAACTAATTAAATAAGTTAAATATCAAAGTAAAACTTAGAAACTAACCATTCTTTCGTATGTAAAATGTATGATGAGATAAAATGGTTTCATAAAATTTGCTGGCTAACAGAACAATCGTTATAAGAGAAATATAAGTAATTTTAATACTTAACGCTATGCTAACATAAAAACGAATCGCTAAAATATGGCCTTTGCGGAACTCCACCTTTACAGATATGTCTTTTAAATCAATATGCAGGAATCTCTTATACACATTTTTAATATTTCTAATAACGTACTAAATATACTTTTTTGAATTTTTCCACAGAAGAGCTGCAACTACGATTAGTTCATGTCACGGAAAAACATTTACTCTTGTAATTATACAAACATTGCTTAAAGACCTTTGTGAAAACATTACACAACAGTGGCGGTACTAAAACGATAATTTCTAAAAAAAAAAAAAATGTTGGTACGTCCATATTCCTAAAGGGTAGAAACGTGTTCTATTCTAGCACCACCACTGTCTGATTCGAAGCCAACAATTTCGGTATCGTTTAAAAAATCAATAACACGCCAAATGAGGAGATATATTACATGAAAAGTTATTGATCTTTTAAATAAAAGACAAAGCCCCTATTCTAACGAGTTCAACATAAGCAGTTGCTTTAAGACTTTTGTTTGAGACGTCTCCCTTATTTCTCCGGCTAAGAACATTTCGTCTACCACTGTGTACACTTTATAAAAGTTAAAAACCAGATCCAGTTCACAAACGTTGTGGAAATATTCATTGAGTACCTCTACAAAGTTGTGTATTGCTTCCAGGTAACACAGATTATTGTCGTTGACGTCGACACATATGCAGAAGTACAGGCCTGCGTATCTGCGATACACTATCTTAAAGTTGCGGAACTAAAAGGTATTAACAACGGCAAAGCATTAGAAAAGTAATGACAGCTGCAGTCAAATTATAACTTGGTGAATGCATTTTTTAAATAGATTTATATGAATTATAATCTTACTTCGACAAAATTCGTGTGCTTCGCATCTCTGACGGTGACCACAGCATGTACCTCCTCGATTAACTTTTGTTTCTCGTCATCATCAAAATTCATGTACCATTTCGCTAAACGGGTTTTCCCAGCTCTATTTTGAATTAATATAAAACGAATCTGTAATAAACAATTGATTAGATTGGGAGGCGTATTCTTCAATAGATTTTCTCTATTAATTAGTCTTCTTCAATAAATATTCACTGGAAGTATATTTTTCTAAATTTCTAAATAAATACTAACCATTTTTAAACTTATGCAAATTTATTTATATACAATTTTAATAATACACTAAACTAAAACCGGAAAACTGTCAGCAACTAACTGTACTGCCTGACGTTTGACATTTTCCTCGAACAGAAGAGAAACACCGTGACTTTTCTGCCTTTCACCATAGAATAGAAGAGCTTTTGAATTTTGACACATCACTATATAATTTTCCTGATTTATCTTTTCACACATTTGTTTTTTTTCTTCTTCTATACTCATATATGGAAGAAAGATAGACATACAGGTTGCATTAGAAATTGTTATATGAAATATATGTGTGAATGAAGTACTCTTCCTCCTCTTCTAACGCATGCTGATAATTACTATATTCCAATATTTATAATTTTCATTTTGGAACAAGAAAATAAGGAAAAAAAAACACATTTTGCAACGATTTCAAAATATATAAACGAATGAATTTTTTGTACTTATTTCGTATTTTTCTTCCACTGTAAGCATTTCTGAATTGTACATTTGTAATATTTACTGGAGCAATGCTAAGTTCACTGATTAGAAAAATTGAGGTTAGAGAAAGTTTTTGGGGGCTGTATAAGCTGTTGCTGTTAAATTTTCTAGATAAAAATTGAAGCTGATCAACAGTTGGCTTGAGATAAAAAAATGTCGAAGTTTAGAGGTGCGTTAAATATAGAGTAGATAATAGAAATAAAAATCTTATCTTTTTAAGGCAATCGAAATAAACGGTCAAAACCTGTCGTGGGAGATAAAGCTAAGGAAACCCTTGAAAATATGGACGAAAACAATCCTGTACTTGTAATGTTTAGAGAGTATTCCTTAGAATTGGATAGTAAACTTGATAGATATGAGAGGATCATAAAACTCAGCCGAGACGTTACAATTGAAGCTAAACGCGTTATATTTTTATTACACAATACTAATACTGATATGTAAATATATACTTATCTCTTTATAATCTTTGTGTGAGAAATGCTTGCGTTTTTAGAGAATCAAAAAAGAAATCCATATTAGAGGAAGCAGATAATAGGCTAAAAGCTTTAGTTGACACAAGTTTTAAAGCTATAGCGAAAGAACTGCAGAATCAAGATGCTTATCAGTACCACCGCGCTTATACCGGGGGCCTACAAGAATTCATCGAAGCGCTGACGTTTTGTCAGTTCATAAAAAACGCTTCTATCAACCCATGGGATAACATTGACCAGTTATTCAGGTACGAAGATGAGGAATGTGGAAAGTACAGTTTGCTATTTCCCCAGTACGACTTTATATTGGGCATTGCCGACTTTACTGGTGAACTGATGAGAAGGTGTATTAACACTTTGGGTGTTGGTAATGTGGATGAGTGTTTTAAACTCTGTGATTTTGTTAGATACATCAACACAGGATTTTTAGGTATGTTCTGACATACTAGTTAAAGTAACGTAACGGTTTTTCTTATCGTTTTTAGGACTGATATCCCCTGGTAATAAGGAGCTTTCGAGGAAAGCGTATGTTCTCCGACAGAGCTTAGCGAAAATGGAATTAGTGTGTTATAACATACAAATTAGGGGTACCGAGGTCCCTAAGCACATGCTTATTGGCGTTATTGAATCTCCAGACGTTAATACAGACGATGATGAAGGTTTTTTCTAGTCGTAAATCGATTTATTTATTTTTCGTATACGAATTTTCTGAATTTATTTGAATCTCGTGGATTTGTTTTATAACTTTTTTTTTATATAAGTAAAATTTTATTGTAAGGTATTGCATGTAATAATTTAAAATATGTGTAATATTTTAAGTATTACATCTACATTGTGTAGAATGCGTTGTTAATAAAGGAACTTTCGTGAAATAAAAATAAAATAAAAATAGATTTAACATAATATATTTGTCCTGTCTTAATTACTAATTTTTAATATAGAGAGATCCTACATTGTCCCCCAATTTTTTTTAAGAAAGATAATACATAAAAAATAAGGATATTTGTTTATACAAGGTGTTCCATTTTAATGTGCATAATTTTTTAATTCAACATTTATAACAAAATATTTGGGACAAAAGTTATCAAGTTTCAAGGGGATCAAATTATGGCGACCTTGAAATCAATTTTCAAGGTCAACCTTGATTTTTGAAATGGAAACCCATATTTTTTATTATAGATTCGTATTATGTGGGAAAAAATATGTAACTTTGTATGAAACTTTTATTTTAAATGCTTTGTTCTCTCCCAGTTTTAATTCTCAGGCTAATATCAAGAAATAAGCAGAATGGTGAAAAATATTTCCAACAAAAGTTGTTAGGTTTCGGGGGGATCAAATTACTGTGACCTTGATATTAACCTTAGTCAATTATCAAGGTCATTTCAAGGTCAACCTTAATTTTTTTAATGGAAACCCCATTTTTATTAGTTTCGTATTCTGCAGGAAAAAAAACATAACATTTTTCTTGAAAAGGCTTCCCGTAATAAAAATATGGGTTTACATTTAGAAAATCAAGGTTGACCTTGAAACGACCTTGATAATTGACTAAGGTTAATTTCAAGGTCATGGTAATTTGATCCCCCCGAAACCTGACAACTTCTGTTGGAAATATTTTTCACCATTATGTTTATTTCTTGAGATATAAGCCTGATAATTAAAAACGGAACAGTAAAAGTATATATAGCGCACTCTGGCGAGAGAAACGAAGCATTTTCAATAAAATGTTTCACAAAAGTTACTTATGCAGAATACGAATCTGCAAAAAATATAGGATTTCATTTAAAAAATCAGGGTTGACTTTGAAATTACCTTGACAATGGACTTCAAGGTCATCATAATTTGACCCCTCGAAACCTGATAACTTTTGTTCGAAATATTTTTGTATAAAAGTCTTATTAAAAAATTATGCGGCCTGGTATATTAAAATGGGACACCTTGTATAAATTTTTCCCCAAATATTCATAAATACAGGGTGTCCCAGATTAAATCAAACAACCAAAAATAATGAAACTGTCTTATAAAACTCATTTCAAAATTTCAATTGTTTTCGAAATACAAGATGCTAAAAAGTCCCTAAAGAAACTGATTTACTGTAAATATATTTGAAATTAAACAATCATTGTTAATTTTAATAGATGGACTAATTATATTTATGAATAAATAAAAAAATATACAAATATTGATATAAGGCGTGAAAAACTCATTGGTGAACATTTTATTTGTAAATAATTAAAAATTTAAATCACTTGATAAATAATTTGCTTTACGAGACTATTTCCATTTGTGTATTTGTATAAGAATCCACCCTAAAATATAGAGAGACAATTGAGAACCTCCCTGTATATGTCATTAGTGCAGTTACTCAATAGGTTTCCTTTTTTTATATGTATATTAAATGTGTTATAATATAATAGATTCTATGTAAGCAAATGCCGTTCTCTTGTTTCCCTATTGGCAAATTCACGTTTAGCTTTGTTCTCTGCCTACAAGCTGAAATATAAAAATTTCACTGTACACGTCAAACGTCTTTTAACAAAACTCACCTGTATGTCGCACGTTAAGAATAATTTATCTTTCTCAGGGAATTTGAACGAAACGAAACTAGCATACAGAAAACTTGTAAATTTCCTCGATCGGAATTTCTTCCATGTTGACAACTCTTTATTTGTGCTGTAACATAATCATGGTAAATTCAATTGAAAAGTGAGATGTAAAAAATTACACACCCGTTCGAGGAGTCCCCACTTAGATGTAACTTTTGTTTCGACAGAGGAAAGTTTTCATCGTCGTAAGCCCAACAGTCTGTAACTTTGATGTCGTACAAGTTGCTGTTGTCCTTGTAGAAAACGAATAAAGATATGGGGTCTCCAACTGTTACGTTTGTTACTGAAACCAAATCCTAAGAACTAAATAAGTATTAGGGGGAAAAGGGTGAATTTAACGGACTTACATTTGTTACGTTTGGAAATATCCCTTTCCGTACTTCCATCCAGACTAAAACTGGGTGATCGGATGTTGGGACTTCGATGTGTTTAATGTTTGAGGTAGATGTTACTACAACCGTTTCATTCTGATCTGAAGATACCTATTAAAAGATTTAAATCATTAGTTTTTGTGTGCTAAGGACAATACTTGCATATAATGTCTAGAAATAATTTATAACTTTATACAATCATCTAGTGAAAGTATTAGAAATCTCTTAAGAAGTTTTTGATTAATAATCAATTAAAGTCTGGCCCTTAAAAAAATATTTTAAATCAGTGTTTGTTGTCGCGCTAATTCGTGTCGTCATTTAGTGCGATCAATGGTCGAAGAGATGATTGATAATGAGAGGGTTGCTTGATAGCATGAGTATAGAAAGTAATAATAGTCTAGAAACAGAAAAAATGGACATTGTTTCGAGCTTTGTGTTTCCCCAGATTAGGTTCTGTCTCTTCTGCTGCCTTTTTAGTAGCGACGTCACATACGCCAAATAATAGGCAACCCCATCCATAGTGCACATATTGTTATGAAGAATGTCTCAATATCTTTACTAGATCTATTTTCGACCTTGAACTTTGTACAAAAGTGCCAAAAGAATGTCTTCTTTGTCATGACCTTAAATATTGCGATATTCTGCTAATATTAGAAATATTTAAGAAATTTCAAACCTCAAGTGACAAACTAAAAGAATGATAGAATTTATATATTTAAATTTATAGAACAATTATTGACTTTTATAGTAATTAATAAATTAATAAATATCAATGTTACCGAGCATGCGCATTAGATTATTTCTTGTAAGCGAAATAGCCTCGCAACAGGATATCATTCAAGAAAAGTTTGGTTGTGGTTAAGAGTACGTTTATAATAAACCACTTGAAGAAAAAACACTCGATAAACACACTGACACAGTACAACAACAAGAAAAACAATAAAAATACTTAATAGAACTAGAAAATGCCAAGATTAAACAAAAGAAGAGAAAATATGCTAATGATGACAAACACAACATATCAACAAGAGCTCACCTGCGTACGAAGCTATTCTTTACGTTTAACACGGCTAATGTTAAATTTTTACTTGATTTTTTTAATATTCTTTTATGTATATCGTTTTTTCTAAGTTTTAAGCACATTAGTGTATCTATTTTACGAAACACCTGTTGGTTGTTCTTAAATACTTCCAAATCCTAGTAAAAATAAATTAATTTGGAGTTCTTTCATTTTTATAGTATCTATGTAAATAGTACACAAGGGTCAGATTCGGTCTGTACAATTTCAACTATGAAAGGTTGCGGGTTGCCTAAATATGTGACGTCACAACTAAGAGAGTCTATTGTAAATTAGGCGGCAGGCGGCCGAGAAGTGGGTTGTGTTGTCAGTCGCACCAAATGACGTCACAATGCGTTTTTAATTGTGAGAAAATTTAATTTTTTACATAATTTTAAACATCTATGTGTAGCATTAAAGAATTAAATTTTTTACCACTGATAATTATTGTTGTCCATTATAAACTACAAATGTACGCAGTTCTAAAAGAAATTAAATTTTCAAGCATATTGCATATTCACTATATTCACTACTAATAGTAATTTCGTTAGTAATCTGTGGTAATTTTGTCACTTACTTACATTATGTGCACAATTTTGTACAGCTGTGGACAATAAAATGGTTCCAATTCCAATACTTACTGTATGGTGTAAATGTGATTTTGCCACAGTATCAAAAAATACTGTTTGACTTCATTTTTTTACCTCTAAAAACTCAAGTTCGACTGGATTATAATTATAGTTTTCATTTAATGATATTTATATCCCCTATTTATGGAACTATTATTCTATAAACGTACCTATTAACACCAAGTATTTTTTTTAAGAAGCAGTTTTATTTTTCACAGCTGTAAATACTTGTATATTTTCATAACTTTGCGAAACTCCTCGAGCATTTTTTAATATTTCGATTTTACTATGCGTAGCAGCAGTGGACAATGAAATTATTTTAGCCTAAATTAGGTACCCGCTGTCTTTGATAAAACAGTTCTTCAAATCGCCAAATGTTTTAGGTCGGAAAAATATTTCCTTGTGTGTAAAAAAATTTAAAATAATATGAGGTTTTTTAAATAATAGGCTTATTACTTACAAAATTATTGTATAATATACAAAAGCCGATTATACACAACACTTTATATAAAACCATTTCTGGACATAAAAAATAAATGATTGTGTTGAAATCGATAATATTCGATAGCCGATGCTGCGCCCCACTTTGTCACAAAAGCAGGAAACACGGATGACTTGATGACCAAATTTTACATTCTACATTTCACTTTTTAATATTATTGTCATCTGCTAGATGATGCAGATACTCATATCACTCCAATTTTGTCGCATGGAATTCGAAAACAGTTAATGTTTATTTTAATTGCAATTGTACAGGGAGAATAATGATAAGTTGGCAGTATACTGAAATTGAAACGCTGAAAATGAAGGCTAAACTGAAAATTCTTCATATTTTTTGAAGTATTGTATTTTTTTGAATTAAAATAATATTGGTGACTTTAAAACTTATCACATTTCTGCCGCAAAATCCGGTAAGGAACTATTTTTATTCAGTTTTGCGCAGTATTTGCAAGAGCAAAGTTTTGTTGAATTTAAGCAATTCTGGAAATTATTCAGGTATGACCTAAATACCAGTTACAGTTACGTTTTTCATCTTTTTAGAAATTAAATAAATTATATGCTTACATCATGTAGATATTTCAAATGATTGATTATTATTAAATCAATAGTTTTATATTTTTTTCTTAAATAAATAACAAAAAACGCTACCAATTAGTAATTTACTTGTATTTTTCATTTATTTGCAATTATTAATTATAATAATGAATAATAAATTTACATATAATTATAAGCAGGATAAACGAATTTAGCGCGTTTTTTTAATGTTAGATATAATCATGTACTTCCCCAAATCTGATTAAATATTTAGGACAAAGAAGAGCCAGTCTCCAATTTGCAAAAAATATTATGTTATAATTTCCAAAATGAAAACCATTAAATTCTACTTGAATTTTTCCATTCATTATGAATAATAAGTTACTTATTATTCTACAATAAGAAATGTTCGTCTTTTATACTTAAGAATTGTACCGACAAATAGTGAAATCAGTATTTGTAAGCATTTGATAGGTTTATCTTGACAATAGTCATTTATCTGCAAATTCCTTCAATCATCCGCAAACAAACGAAACTTTTTTGATTACGGTGACCTTCGCGGGATATCGCATTTCTGTCGGCACAAAAATACGATCCGTTCTATGAATACGGACCTGCCTGTTGCTCTTGATGCCGAGTATTGCATATTTAGTTTATCAGTTTCTTATTCCGAGATTTTCTGTTGGAAATTTGAATAAAACCTGTGAAGACTCCCGTAAGAAATAAAGGTCAGTATTCAATTAATTATTACAGTCATAATTACCCCTGTTTTATTTTGTTTACTAATTATTTCTGGACGTCTCTTTAAAAGCTAACCTAAACCCAACTTTTTAATTCTAATCAAGATATAAGCAAGTTTGAACGTTTAAAGTTTGATGGTATCGTTACTATTATTAAGAATGGTTAAGCTTTCCTTATAAAGCTTTCGACTCAATATAAGGTAATTCTAAAGAGATAATCTAAGGATAAATTGTTTATGGAGTGCATTAAACACATTCTGTAATGTTGATTGCAACCTGATTAACACTATGTTGTATACTGTGTTGCCTACCATTCCAGTGCGCGTCTCGTGAAACGTGCAGCCTTGATTAAAAAGCAAATAAAGCATAAAATGTAGTTTAACTAGTTTATATGCGGTACAAAGTTGATGTATTCTAGTCGGTTTATGGCACAATAAATTGTTATAATATTTATTGACTACTGTAGGCTTCTTTATGTAGTGTGTTTAATTCTATTTGTGTCCAATTATTCACAAAAAAAGTATATTAAAAACGTGATCCATCGTCATCAAGTAGACATCCTTAATCTATTGATTATTAAAAAAGATAGATATAAAAAATTATAGGTAGATTAAATGATTCAATTATTATATACATTTTAGTAAGTGCAGTGTTGTATAATGTGACATTCCGTTTTCAAAACGCCATTATCCGCTTTCTTGTTCTCCAAGTTCTATCACGGTATGTTCATTTTGAATATGTAAACAGATTCTCATAAATACCACCACCAAGACTGAATTCATTTTAGACTTTTGTCATGTCCGATATTTTGAAGGCCCTTGAAGATGATCAAATATCGGAATTGTCGGAAATGTACAAAGCCAATTCGGATGCCCCTCCTTACGTTCGCAGCTATTTGGAGACGATGAGGAGATGGAAACGAAGTGGCAAATGTTTTTTGGTATCTTTGTGGTCTCCAAATGATTGTTGGAGGGAGGACGGAACATTCATTGCCCTCATGCAGGTATTGTAGGAATATAATACAGTGTAAAAATGAGAAATGAGTGTATACATATGAGTGTATACAAATGAGTATACAAAATAAGGTTGACATAAAAATAGATGATTTTGTCCTATACATCGTGTGGATCTATCGTTTTTTGTTTTTTTTTTGGAGATAATAGGGGTCAAAAATTATTTTTTCTAAGAATATACAGGCAAGTTTTTGAGGGCGTTAAATACGCCTTCTGCTGGTGGTCGCTAGCTACTATATTTGCCAGTGACATCCACAAAACATATAATACAAGAAGGTCGTTTTCATAATACCAAAATCGAAACACCACTGACATTAAAGGACAACAACTGGCTCCCTCACTGTGTCTGGCCGCCCAAAAAAATGGAACTAAAGATAGCCGGGACGATAATGATTACTTTATAATATACCGCAGGTAAAACAGATGCCAATTTGCGCGGGCTTTTGAAAATACATTCTAAGGGTTGTATATGACACTATAGGCTTTTTTTCGCGACTGAATATTGGTGAATATCTGAATTGTAGTTACTATTTCTATCTGTTTTGGTCTTGGTTGTCCTGTGGTAGTTTAAATCTCTTCACTCACTCATACTACACATACTACAACATACGACTTCACTCGCGAAAAAATGCCTTATACTAAAATTAGAACTAATTTCAGTAATTAATGAAAAACTTTTTAATCAGGCATAGTATCATACAAAAATTGCAACAAAAATGTAGCAGTTTCTGTATGATACTATGCAAGATTAAAAAGTTCTTAGTTAATTACTGAAATTAGTTATAATTTTAGCATAGTGTCATACGACCCTAATACTACTTCCTTTTAATATTTAAAAATATATACGATATTACGATTTATAATGGTAAAATCGTATTTTACTCGTTTAAATAAACTTAAAAAAGAAACTGCAAAATTTATAAATCAGTATGTATTAGCAATTTTAATGTGGTTATTAATGTTATTAAGAGGGATAATCCCCCTCGATCCCAAATCATTGAGGCCAATTTCTAGCCATGGAATAATGGCGCGGTTATTAATGTTGCATACAAACAATTCTATTCACAAACTTTATATTTTCTGTTAAACCTGTTTTCTAAACACACAAACAAAATGGAAAGTTGACGGATAAAAAACAATATTTTAAGAATATGAATCATAAATAAATAATAAATATTTTTCTTTTGTGTGTAAACAAACATAACTCTTTTCTCTATATTTAATAGGAAAACCTGCTCAATTTAATATTTACTTACCTTTTTGCCAAAACTTCCAATATTTTTCTCATACTTACCACAAATACATAATCAATACATCAAGATAAACGTCATGCTAAACAAACGTGAGTCGTGAATTTGACTGTGGAAAAGTTAGTAAAAAATTTAAAGACACTAGATTTTACATAGTGAAAAAACTTGTAACAAACGTAACAAACTTAAAGTTACTTCCTTTTCCTCACCCCGTTCTTCATGTGTCTGGACAAGCTACATCCCCTCCCTGTTGCGAATCTGGCAATGCTAGTTGCACAGCCATGGTGACGTCTATTTGAGGTTAAGATTTTTTTACAGGGAATGTCGTTATAATGTAAAATACATATCAATATACATAAAATATACTTTTATTAAAATCGGTTAAAACGTACCTATTGTTTTCGGAAAACGCAATTAACTATCCCAAAGTCAGTTTGTAAATAGATGTAGTAGTCTCGGTTCAGTTTTTATCTTAAAAGTTCCAAAGGAATGAATTGAAAACTTTTTTTTGAGGTTCGAAACTTTATAAGGAAGAAAAATTGTATTAAGGTTACCTAATCTAATTACGGCCCATTCGCCTCTGAACAGATTGAGAAATAGAAGCTGGTTGATTTTGAAAGTCAATTGAGTTTTTCTCAAAAAACGACAAAAGTCCCAAAAAAAACGCCCATAGTGACAAATCGTCTTATTTTTTTGAGGTTCTACTCCCTAATTTTTTTACACTGATTTCTAGAGTATTTCTAGTCAATTAAAAAATTATTTTTCCTGGCTCTCTCAAAAGTTAAACCAAGTTTATCTTTTCAGCTTCTATTATTTCTCTTTTCAATATTTTTGCGTCTTTGCTTATTCAAATACGAAAATTAAATTGTCATGTGTCATATCATTATCACTACCTACAGTAAAAGTACAAAATACAATCAAATAATGCTACAGTTTAGAAAACAGTGTTTAGCTCTGTTGTAAAATAGACACAAAAAAAATTCCTTCTGGAAATTATAATGCTTAAGCAAAATGTGGAAACAGAAAGGTCTCTTTGTAGTAGCTGTTTGAATTAGCTTAGTACTTTTAAAATAGTGTAAAAAAACGTACGCCAATAACAGAGTGTCTGTTGCCTATTCTACTAATTCCTACTGAAAAAATATATTATTTAATTGTTGTCAAACAAGTCTTCGACCTAATAACTCTAATTATGATAATGATATAAAAACTTCAATTCAAATTTCCCGCTATAAAACTTAGTTCATGGTTTACTCACAGCCAAGTGGTGTTATAGTGTTTAATAAGAAAATCTGCATAACATCTGTGTATCTAATTTGTGCCTATATTTGTTTACTTTTAGTTTGGCAACTATGATTTGTTCATGTTCACGTTAGATCCAAAATGTGAAAACCTGCGCAAGGGAATTGAAGAAACTAAAGAAATAAACTGGAAGAACCCCACTTTAGTATTTAATCTTCATTTTAAACACTACCCTTACGTGCTAGAGGCGTTCAGGCACCTTAATCTAGTCGCAAATTTCAATAGAATTTACGATATGTACTTCTTAGAAAGAGACCAAGCCTTGAAATTCGACCTAGAGTAAGCATACGCGTCATTTATGAACCTTGCTATAGATATTCTGTTTCAGGTGTCCCTCTGATGTTTATTTAAAGAAGCTTGATCTGTCAGTTGCGCCACTCATCGACTATTTGTATAAAGCTCACAGACATAGGTACCCTGACGGTGAAAAGTTTATATCCACTCTGATTGAATTGAATGGAGGGTTTGGGTTATTTTCCAAACAAACTCACGACCTTGTTGCTTGGGTGATGAGGACGTGTTTAGGACAAATCGGATTTTTACAGACTGTTGACGGGCACACCAGAAAGGGTTATGGCGAATATTTAGCAAAAGTTGTTTCTCGAGAAATAGCGGAAGAGGGCTTTGTGCCCATGGGGGCCGTCTTTCACGAAAACTCCGCCTCGCTTGGCTTGTTTAGGAAGTTGGGATTTCAGGTGGAAGGACTTTGTTACTTCATTGAAGTTAATAAATGAGTTTTAAGCGATATTGAGTTTTAAGTTGTTTATTTATCTTATTTAATAAAGAATTATTTTTATTGGAGTTACGATATTTTGAGATAAACCGCTAGAAATTTTATTTTTGAATATATTGACAACACAACACCACAAATCTTATTTCATCGGCATTCGGAAGTAGGGATCTTACATGTTTTTGGGGCTGATCATAAATTTGAACTCTAAAATACTCTATCACGTCAAATTTTGCAATAAACCCAAAAAAATCTCTGAAAATTCGATATATGGCCGATATTTTATGCACTGTATCAATCTGGAAATTCATTTACTCGTAAAAGAGGCTAATACGCTCAATCCCGAACTCATCACAAATGCTTCACCATAATACAAATGTTGTATTACTTCATTATAATTTAAAACGATATCCATCAACTCCCGAGTTGCTATACACGTAAATCATTTTTGACACTTGGAAAACTAATGTAAACACTATCACAAAAACGTAAATACTAACATCGGATTTCAGTACCTATTGAAAATAGCATGGGGGCACAAAGAGAGAGAGAGAGAGCGCATTGTGCACATCGTACAACGCGATGACGCTAGAGATTACAGTAGCCCAGCGATGTAAAGGTTGAAAATACTTCAATAATTTTTTTCTCGGAAACTAAGGATTTTACAATTTTTTTTACGATATTGACTCCATTTTCCATGACGCATCTATTTCCAAATCTTTTTGGAATCACCCTGTAGATTACTTATTTATTTGATTGTCGCCACAAAGTGTCCGATGTCTAATTATTAAAAAAGCAATCATCTGAAATCGTGAAGCTTATCGACAAATATTTACTTTGAGTATTACTAACAGAAACTTATCGTTCATCAACATCGATTTAGGTGACTAAACAACTCGAATTTATTTGTAGTTGTAATTCACACTTAACGTATCTCACGTAAATTTCACTAAATGTATTGTTTTTTTAAGATAAAACGTTTTTATTTACACTTGATATATCACTTTTTAAGTCTGTAGTCATATGTATCTGTTAACAAACGCGTGTGAATTCAATAGAAACATACACCATCAAGTTAACTTTGCTTGGATTTTAGAAATGTCCGAATGCCACAACGAGCTCCTTATGAACATACCGGATGAGGACTTAGAGAAACTAGCCGACATGTACAAGGAGCACGGAGAGATTCCGTACGCCAGTAGTGTGCTCACTAATGGCATAAGAGTGAGGAAAAAACGGAGTTTCTTCATACGCTTCATGTCGCCTGGCAACTGTTGGAAGGACGACGGGACGTTTTTTGCTTTAATGGAGGTATGATTTAGCATTTAGGCCCTAATTTATGTCTTGACAGTTTGTTTAAAGGATTCATATTGTGGATGTACAGATAACTATTGTAAACACTATCGCAACGACGATCATAAAATCGGATTTCAGTATTCGGAGTCGCTGAGGCCACGTGGCTCTCCACGCATATTGCGAATGACGCTAGGGACTACAATTGACCATCTATGTAATGAAAGTACTACAACTTCAATAATAATATTGGTTAAATATTAGGGAATTTATTGTTTGCTTAGTTCAATTATACAGAGTGTTCTGTAAGCTCTATGGGTCAATTTCAAACATTTTTTCTTATATGAACGCAGGTCCGATTAATTTTTGTTTTGGAGTTACAAGGATTTTAAAAAATATAATTTCATATTTCAATTAAAGTAGCCTGATAAATAAAAATTATGGTTGCTATAACTATAATTATGTCATAGACCTTGGAGAACACCCTGTAGATCCACGCAAATTCCATAAAAAGCATTTTCAACGAATAATATACAGTGTTTTCGTTTTGTTCAGCAGAATTGAGGTAATATGTAGTTCTTAAAATATTCCGAGTATTCTAAAAATGGTGGAATATTGCTATTAAGACATTATCGTGTCATTATTTTTTATTAAAATGCTCTCACTAAGCCCGCCACTGGTGAATCTACCAACGTGAAATTCACTCATTCAAGCTAAAAAATATTCTTTCTTTCCAAACATATTTGGTTTGTTGATTGACAATATTTTGCTTAAAATTAACTTCTCTATATGCTACTAATTTTCTGCTCATTGAAACGAAAACACTTTGTATATAAACATTACATTTTGAAGAACTGCTTTAACTTCAGTGGATAATGGAAAAATAAGGCTGTTTCTTTCTATGTGCCTATTATATTTTATTTTTGAGGTACAACACGCCAAAGATGATTTTTTTTAAAATCAATTTTCGGTCATATGTATTTTGTATTATAGTGGAATTTGTCGCTGGTGAGTTTTTGAGGATGCTAAAGTTGTTTAATTCTTGACTATAAGAGGTCGCTAGATATGATCAGTGACATCCCCATTTTTAGGTTAGGTTTCTAAATTGCAGGTTATTGGGTAGGTATGTAAAATTATATTTTCTACAAAAAAAGTGCCTGCTCTTGTGTTATTTGGAGAAAACCATTCTGTGGGTGGCATTTAATTACACCGTCAGTATCTAACAAATGACTGTTGTTCATTAATTATCCAAAATATAAACTGAAAATGATATATTGAAATGTTAAATAAACTAATAATTTAAAAAATATGTTGTATTTTCGTTGTTCTAACGTCACTAAGAAGCAACACGTAAAACCAAAAAATAATAATAATTTTAAAGATCATCTTTAACGTTGTGTATCTCAAGAGCAAAAGAACTAATTGTATTATTTTTTATTTCTGTCAGTCGTTTTGTTCATGGCATGTGCTCGGATAAGTGAAACAACTCTTGTTTGGCCTTGGAAAATTTTCTTCTGTTTCGTTCTGTTTTCGCTTGTTTGTGGAACAAAATCCGTCATATATTCAAATCTACAAAATCAAAGTAAGCCTTGCAATTTTAGAAAAATTTGATTTCCGTCACTATTAAGGTGTCAGTTCTGTACGAGATACCACAAAATGGTATTAGCACAGTTTTTCATAATTATAAGCTGAGTATTTGTGCAAAATTTAAATGTCCTAGGCCTTTGTACGAGTCTGTTCAGAAATTAACCTATCTATTTGAATTGCGCGCTAGTGGAAATATTTAGTGACATGCGGTTGGCAGCATTGCGTTGCGCATTACCTCTGTAACCACATGTTCTTGGGTTGGTGATATCTTATGTAGTTTTCGGGATATTGTTATTTTAATGCAACATGTTTGTGTTAGAGACGATATTTGAAATGTGCGATTTTCTTTAACAACGATACAACGCAAAATTTTTCGTGAAACTGGGGAAATATTTAGGGAAATGTTTCAATTTTTTAAACAAGCTTACGCAGATAATGCTCTTCAAATACTTAAAGTACGTAAAAAACACTTCAGAGTAATACAAAATATCTCAAAACAATCTTGGAATACATATTCATTTTCTTCATTCTAGAGATCAGTTCGTGGAATTTTCATTTGTTTTGAAGTTATTTTGATTCCGGGTGATGCGACCTAAAATTATTATCTATTCCAAGGTGCCTTGATCTATTTTACCTTTTATTCGTTTCACTAAGATCGTCTCGAAATCAAAATCTCTTATAAAAGTCGTTTCACATATCCGGGGACACGCTGTATACTTTTAGTTTGATATATGGGCAACCAGGTATTAGAAAAATCTAAATAAAGTATCAACTTTAACTACATTATAAGTTACATTTTTTTTGTAATACATTCTGTTTTCTGTTTACCAAATACTGACTTGCTATTGTCCAGTATTGGTTATATTGGTGATGGGATACGTGTGCAACTCATTCAACTTTTTATAGGTGCCAGTATTTTTTTAGTTTCCTCACAGTTATGATCTTGCAATCTTTACGTTGGACAAAACCTGCAAAAATGTATACGAGGGCCTCACGAGGACCAAGAGACTGCATTTCGAGAGGCCGCTCATTTTCTACGCCGTGCACAACATTGTATATCCCACCGTACTGAAGATCGTGCAGGAGAAAAACCTGCAGGTCGAGACCGATAACGCCTACTACATCTTCACCGTATCGAAGGAGAAGGCGCTAGAATTTAATATAGAGTAAGTAGAAGGCTTTTCATTTTGTACCTGTCTGTGATGCGAGAGAACGAGGCCTTACCGCTGTTCGCGTGACGTCACTGAAGTAGTTGGTAAAGTGTTAGTATTACGATTTGGATACAGGGCCTTGGTCACTGCTCGGTCACGTACTCCTGGAGTCAATTATTGTTTTTATTCGATTAATAATGAATTTTCTATTCAAACTTGAGGTAATTGTATTACATCTAACACGTCAGCACCTAGTGACGTTACTACCAGTGGTTTAATGAGTCTCTTAATGACGTCACAAACTGGTTAGTAAAGTTTAGTTCTATTGTCGCACTCACCATTTGTCCTTTGAGTACCAACAACTTATAGCGTTTAAATATGCGAGATCCACGAACTTTTTTAACGTCACATGTCATTTTAAGACAATTGGTTGTTGCTTTTCAGCTGCCCGGAAGAGGTCGTGCTGAGAAAACTGACCCCCGCCCATTCGACGACCGTAGACAAGCACTGGCCCCACAACTTCGCACATTCGCAGGAATTTCTGTCCTCTCTCATCGAGCTGGTGGGCGGGTGGGGTCTCTTTCTCAAATCGAACAACGAACTCGTCACCTGGGGCCTGCTGACCGGCTTGGGGCAACTGGGTATGATCCAGACGGTCGAGAGCTATCAGAAGAGGGGATATGCTAGCGTCATAACCAAAGTCCTGTCCAAAAAGATCGCCGAAAGGGACGAAGATCCAGTGGGAACCGTCGCCGTGAAAAACGTGGCATCGCAGAACATGTTCGAGAAGCTGGGGTTCGAGAACAAGGGCCAGTGCAATTATGTTAATCTTAAGAAGATAATTTGAACGCTACTTGTGATATTACGCTCTAAGTAAAATATAAGCTATTCTTATGATTTTTGTGAACAATGATATTCTAATTGATCGCGCTTATTCGATTGGATGATTTATATGGAATTTAAAAATTATTAATAAACTTTTTTTTTATAGCAAAGTGGAATTTTATTTTGTAGCACCATTAAAATAAATAAAAGAAGAACAGAATGAAAAAGATGGGAACAAAGGAACACATGACATTTCTTTTGTTGTTTTTTCTATTCATATACGAGGGGGGACCCAAAAATAATCGGACGAATTTCGCTGCGCGCGCCACTCCACACTGGGCCTTTTGTAGTTAGTAGTAAAAAGCACCTAGAGCTTATAAAAATGGCCCAAAATGGATTTTTTAAAATCTTTTTTAGAGGTTTCCTAAGAGAACATTTACAACCCTAACCTCATCTAACTTTATTAAGTTATTAACCTTTTTTTCTTAAAGTAGGTATTCTAATTATTACAATTTCAACCATTAAAAAATCGTCCGCTGTTGCGTTGTTACTTCGAAAAATCATTGTAATAGGGCGCATAGTATAAAAATGAAAAACAGAGAATATGACGGAACGTTAGACTCATATATTAGTGAATTTCGATGCTTTGACTATACTTTGGAAACAGAACTCCCCTAAACTCCACTACTTATCAAAAGGAGTGATGTATCATTGGATTCCTTAAAGTGGGTACTTTAAGAAAAACCTACGTACTTTTGCAAATATTCACATAATTCAAAGAATTTTATAATAAACTGTGACAGCACGAGTGAAAGAGAGTTAACTCTTTGAGCCATACCTATATTTTATTTCTTTCTGGAACTTTTTAATGTGGCATCGACGTATTTTCGAAGTCGCTGATTACGAATAAGAAGTCAAAATTGTAAAATTCAAAATAACCGACCCAATATGGTGGACCAATAATTCAAAAAAGTTTTTAGTTTTCTTGAAAATCAATACCCGCGTTTTTTTCGGGTCGCTGATTATAAATAAAAAAACCGTCAGGACACTATTATAAGAAATATTTCAACTACTTACTTATTTAGATTTACAGCAGAAAAAATGATTTTTTTATTTTTTTCTTCTGATACTTTAGATGCTTTACAGTAATGTCTAGATATTAATTTATAATAAAAAACGACGCTGCGAAAAATCTGAAAAAATTCTGAAAATTACTTTAGGGTGTTCTAAATAAATATCTTAAACCGGCGTTCCGATATTGACAATACTGACAATACTTATAAAAAGCTCAAATTTTGAACATTTAAAAAATTGGGGTTATGTATTCTGAAGTTAATGTTCTATGCAATATCGGTATTACTGATATTTGCATTTGAAAATAACGATATGTGGAGATTATCCTGACTTGAGTATTGTGATTTCTTGCGAAACCATTTGTATTTATTTTTTTTGGTTTTATACAACTTGCCGTTTCCTAGTTTCCCGAAACTGCAACTTCTAATAAAAAATTTAAGATCTTAACTATAATGTCTATGTACTTTGAACTCATTCAGCGATAATTTGCAAATACTGTAATTTTCCATATTATGTAAACGCAATTTAGTTCAAAATTCCATTTTGTAATTTTATAATCATCGTATTGGATCCGCCATTATCAATTTCTGAATTCTGAGTACGGATTCTAAATTAGCGACCCAAAAAACCTTTCAGTACCAAATTACAGCAAAATCGGAGCATCTTTAGCATGTTTGTCCGCCATATTGGATCCGTCATTTTGAATTTCTAAATTTTGAGTACAGATTCTAAATCAGCGACCCCAAAAACCTTTCAGTACCAAATTACAGCAAAATCGGAGCATCTTTAGCAATTTTGTCAGCCATATTGGATCAGTCATTTTGAATTTCTTAATTTTGAGTACGGATTTGAAATCAGCGACCCAAAAAACCTTTCGGTACCAAATTTCATAACAATCGGAGCATTTTTAGTATTTTTGCCATCCGTCTCGAGCAAAGCCACTTGGTAGAGTGACTGAAGCGGGTTTCCGCAACACCCATCTAGCGGGAGACGTCCGAACTACAACGGTTATTTTTGCGTCCCCCCGATAATTTCACAATGTAAATTTTTATTATAATTTAAACACTAATAAATAGTTAATTGGTTAATGTGGCCCAAAATTGGATCCTTGAGGAACACCAGAAATAGCTAAAGAGGTATTAGATTTTACTTTTACTGTCAATGTTACCATACTTTAGGTGTGTTATACCTCAACCATTCTTCACTAGCGCAATCGTAATTTACGACCTCAATTTCGTTTTCCTGAACAGTTTGATTTAAAAAAGGGTAAGTACACTTTTTATATTTAACCGTATTTTTTCCGAAATTGAAAATTTTACACTTAAATATCGAAGTGAGTGACTTTTACAGAGTCGCAAAAAGCACGAATCATAGAGAGCCGTTTTTAGTTTCTTTGAATTTTACTTGTTGTCTCTGTTGTCAACTTAAGACCTTTACTAAATAAGTTCATGTTAATCTTTTTATTTATCGCTATTATTTTCTGGAAGACTATAAACGTTAACGATAAACGAAACAAATGTGTAAACAACACAAATATATATTGAAAAAAAGAAACGATATAAATAACATTTGTATCTGAGGGCGAGGCGTTAAAAAAAAATTCCTGGAGAGCCTGTAGCTTCGAACTTATTAAATTAATCTGTTTATTTTTAAATAAAAAGTTTTTTTTAATAAGTTGAATTTATTTATTAACTGATACATATATCAGTTATAAAAATACATTTGATATCTAAGTGTAGAACGTTTTGTGTTCTGCACCAGAGCACTTGTTATCAACTTATGTGATTGTCACAAATTAAGGACTGTCATTTGCATTTGTTACATAATGGCAATGTTTCTTTCCAGAGCTCTCTTCGTTTTATCGATTTTTAAGCTAAGTACTAGTATTACAGGTATTATTTGCATATAAATAAGTATTTAAAAGCTTTAGAGATCACTTATTGTAGATGACGCTTACAATTCACTACCTCGAATGTATGAAATGGAAGATTACGATACTTGTGACAGAGAAAACAATGTATATTGCAAGATTAAACTGGTTTTAATACCGAACGATGCAAGTAACAAGTTGTGGCAAGTCATCGAGGTTTGTTAAACGTTTTTCAAATACTTGTTGTTGAGATATAGGGTGACACAAATAAAATTAATTATTTTCGCTGTCAAAAAGTAAAGAAAGCGGACTGTTTTTTTTTGTTCCAGGCGTCGAAGAAAGAAAAACGTTTCATGGAACGCGATGTTATATATCGCGCCAAATGCATTCCTAAGGAATATTTCATAGATACGGCAAGGGTATTGGCACATGTTACGGAACAGGAGAATAAGAATCTGGAAAATATATCTTTTCACGTGAAAGTGGAAAAGATAAATTGCAAAGAGAATGTGCAAGAGTTGTCTGTAAATAACTACTTTATTTTGTAAGAAAATGGAAAAAATTAATGCCAGTATTTTGAGGACCCTTTGGTTAACTAATCAGATGGTTAGACAGTAAATAATTTTACACTTCGTTCAAAATACTGGCCTTTATTGTACTATTTACTTATACGTATCTATTTCGTGGAACAGTTTTTAAGTTTGAAATGTTTTTTTTAGGTGGTTGCTCCTAAGTTATCTGCTACTTATAGTATTAGCAACATCAATTGATCTGTTAGTAAGAAGAACAAATTATATCCTGGATATTCCAAAACAAAGTACGTACTCTATTTTAAAGAATTAAAAAAAAGACATGGCGAAAAAATTAGGAAAATAAAACTGTTCTATGGACTACATACTCCTAATTAGCATTGAATAAAAATTAAAACTGATATGTCTAAATATGTTTAATGCAAAAACGCAAAATGTATCATATTTTTGCTGTTATATCACCAAGATTGACAAAGACACCACGAAAATAACACCGGAGCGGAAAATTCCACGTAATTTGCGCACGGTCTCAGCTACAAACTCTCTGTACTTGTAATCTTCACTCGCTCATCCGTCGTATAGCGCTCCATTTTGTCTAACAGCAATCTGTTACTTTTGAGCATCCTTTATTTAGATAATATTTCATTTTTAAAACAGGGTGTGGCGTGTATAATCTATAAAAATTAAACTACAGCTTCCTGATGATATTTGTAATAGAAAAGTCTTATACGAAAATGTTTTATTTTTGCGTTTCTTTTTAGTAAATTAAAGTTCAATTATATGGATCAAAATATTTTCTCTGGAACGGTCCTGTCCGTGTGCTGTACGATGAGTTACGTGCTGTAGACCAGCCGCGTAAACAAATCGTCGTTGAAAGATAGAAAGATACTTCTCAAACTTTGGGGAATTTTTCAATGGAAAAGTACAAACTAAGAAAAATAGATATTTAAAAAAAACTGATATTTTCTAATTATAATAATTAATAAAAATTACCGCCTTAAATGCATTGTTGTTATTGCAAGAGTTCGCATACAAAACCACATCCGTAAGCATCTGTAGTTGCCAACTGCGTGCACTAAACAAATTCCATTAAAATATGGAAAATTAAATAAAACTTACCATTCCTAGAGAAAATATTGAAATTGATCCCCATTAGCGTGGATACAGGCATGGCACTGACGCCCCCAATTTTGGCGAATATTTTCCCAATTCCCAATAAACCAATGACGTCAAGTGACTTCAAAGATAAAAGTCCATTGGAGTTAGATCGGGTGACCGAGGTGGCCACGGCATAGGACCAAAGCGTCCAATCCATCGCTGAGGAAACATTTCATTCAAAAGTGTCGTTACTGCTCGAGTACTGTGTGGAGGAGCCCCATCTTGAAGATAAAACATGCGTGTCCGAACTTGTAATGCCACATCGTCCAATAATTCAAACAACCGGCTCTCCAAAAAGTCAGCATATGTTGGTCCATTTAGTCGTCCTTCAAGGAAATAGGGACCCACAAGTACATCGCCTACTATGCCAGCCCAAACATTTACCGAGAACCGATGTTGAAAATGAGTTTCCCTAATCGCGTGAGAATTTTCATCGGCCCATATGTGCATATTATGAAAATTCCTTTCATCACTGGTAAATATCACCTCATCTGTTACACAAACAGAAACAGGAAAGTCTACTTGATTGACACATTGTCGTAAAAACACTCTGCAAAAACGCATTCGTTGATCACAATCCGGGGGTAAAATCTGTTGAACTGGTTGCAGATGATAGGGGTGCAACAACTGGCGCCTTAAGATGCGATGTACGGTACGATATGAGTTTCTACTTGCTGTGCGAGTCGTCGAGTACTAATTGTGGGGTCTTCGTCAAGATTTTCCAACACTGTATCTTCAACATTAAGGTTCACTTGCTGACCATGTCCTTCTCCTCGAGGAATAACACTTCCCGTATCTCGCAGCCGCTGAACGCACTGTAGGATTGTATTTGCATATTGGGGGGTGACGTTGTGGCCATCGTTCCCGGTACAACTTAGTCGCCGCGAGCGCATTTTCTCCGGCTGCACCATACACTGACACCATATCGACACGTTCGGAAATAGTAAATGCATTGTTTTCTCGGTTCATTGTAAAACTAGTTTGTGCACAAACTAAAAAATTAAGCAAGGTAGGAAATAAGAATCTCGTTTTTAATGTAATCGGCACGCTATTCTTATTTTTTACTTCTTTATAAAAATTACACACTTCGTAGAATTACAAAATAAAAACTTTTTTCTGGGATTTTTCACTTTTTAACACCGATGGGTCGATGGACGATGCTTAATATTTAATAATTAAATGAATAATGAATTCAATACAAATACAAAATCAGTTGGCTGCACAAATTTTTTGACAATGTAACCTAACCTTATTTTAGTATTACTAGTATTAGATTATACCGACTTAAATTATTGCATCTCGGGTCGCATAAAAACATTTCCAAAGTTTTTATTAAATAACACAGGGTCGGCCTTCATTTTCGTTGAATAAATGAACTTTAATTTACAAAAAAAAAAAAAAAAACGCGAAGATGGAACTCTTTCGTATAAGACTTTTCTATTACAAATATCATCAGGAAGCTGTAGTTTAATTTTTATAGGCTATACACGCCACACCCTGTATATTAAGACTATACCCAACTTTATAGAACTCATCACTGTGCTGTCAGTTATCAGCAATTGGGAAGCTCTGAGGAAACCAATAAGAAGTGCGGACTATGACAAATTAAAATCGTTCCAGGGTTACAGGATTTTTGTTATGTGCGTAGTGATAGGTTGCCACAGTATGTTAGCGGCGGTGACGGCGTATTCAACCAACATTAGACTATTGGAAGATGTGAGTATGGGAGAGATTACAATTGTTTTAAATAAAAAATAAACCATAATAATACTCCTTATACCCTTTTCCATGAACGATTATTTTCAGTATTCTTTAAGTACTTTCAAAAGAGTTTTGATAAACTTTGGCCTTCACATGATCCAGCCGAGTTTTTTGATTTCTGGGTGGCTTCTCACCATTCAAGTGTATAAGACTGTAGAAAGGTCTAACCATAAAAAATTGAAGTTGAATATGATCGGAAGAGCGCTAGTGGCTAGATATTTAAGGTAAACATAAAAATGAAAATTCTAGTGTAGATTCTAAGATTTAAATACGTATAAATAAATTTGAGTGAAAAAAATTATAAAATTTAATTCATGAAGTGTTGTGATCGTTAAGTATTTTTTATTTTTCAGGTTTATTCTTCCCCTAATGTTTTACTTAGGACTGCAAAAGTCTCATCTCTTACAATTGTGCTTTTCTGGACCCCAAACAGATTTACTAGACGTCGACAGCAAAGCTTGTGAAACGTATTGGTGGGCAAATCTGTTGTTAGTAAATAATTTTTTCTACGTTAAGAATATGGTAGGCATTAAATAAATTGTAGTCATAATTTTTCATATTTCGATTGTGACCTTCATTTTTATAAATTTAAATCAGAAAGGTTCAGATGAAAATTGTAGAATAACAAGAAACCAATATTTTGCTGACCTTGTATTTGACTTTGATTTTTAATTTCAAGGTCAAACCAAAGTCAACTTGAAAATGTTACGTGGAATACCCTATTTTGTATATCAGCAATCAATAGAGCTACAAATTTTACTTCCGAATATGAGTCAGAATATTTTTTCTGTATGTCCTTGGAGATGATTTGGAGGTCAAACTCATTTTTCTCTGAATAATTCAACAAAATTATTTCATGCAAATTTATAAGATTTCGATTGACAAATTAAATGGTGGCCTTGGATTTTACCTTTACCACAAATGCAAGGTCAATCTAGGGTCAACTCTTAAATGGAATACGCTGCTTTTATCCAACAACCGATCCTAATCCTATTTTTTCAGTAAGTACTTGATGGTCATTTGAAAGTCAAACTAATTTTTCACAAGAAATAATGAACATAAACGCACTAGAAATTAATAAACGTCTTCAACTACAAGTATTAGTGTGAACAATTCTGAAATTTAACAAAATAGAATTTTATGATGAGGACATTCTGGAAACTGACATCTAATCAGCTGTTGTGTCAATTCCAAGGTCACCATCTAATTTGTCATTCAAAATCCTAGAAGTTTTGTTTGAAACATTCAGCGATAAATAACACAGGTCAACATTTTATCTAGGCTTATGCACGGGAATCGAAGATGGTATCCTAGGGTTTTTGGGGTCGCTAATTACGATGAGCGGGTCGGTTAGGCTTCATCACCTCAAGTTCAAGGTCATTTGAAGGGCAAACGGTCAAAACATCTTCAAAAAATCTGAAAAAATTCATGGACATGTTTTTGAGGTCGCGGAATCCGAATCCGGCGTTTATTTTTACTTTGCATGCAACCCCGAGGTCATTCAAGGTCATCCCAAAGTCATTTGAGGGTTTTTTTGAGACAAAAATGCAAAGTACCATCCGAAAAATCTGAAAAAATTCATACGTATGTTTTCGAGGACCCTAGATAAGAATCTAAGGTCAGTCGACCTTATTTCAAGGTCATTTGAAGGTCAAAAGATCAAAAAACCTTCCAAAAATCTGAAAAAATTCATGGACATGTTTTTGACGTCGGTATTTTTAGTTTGCATGCATCCTCGAGGTCATTCAAGGTCATCTCATGGCAGGTATTCTAGTTCAGTGGCACAATTCTGCATTTCGCAGATTAAGATTTATACCAGAAAAAAATATTTGGAAAATGACTGTAGAATCCACGTAAAAAAGTAGAAGTATAGTCTATCTGACTATAAGAATTGTCTAAAGAATTTTATGTAGCTCAAATTGTCGAATTGACCACGACTAACTAAAACTTGTGGTTGCACCCTGGGCACCTCCACGTGGTGCCACTATCCGGCAAAGTCCCTGGGTTATGGCTTCCATGCCATCATGGCAACCACAAGTAAAAGTGTTACGGGACAGAGGATGCATGCAAAGTAAGAATAAACACCGGATTCGGATTCAGCGACCTCAAAAACATGTCCATGAATTTTTTCAGATTTTTGGAAGGTTTTTTGACCGTTTGACCTTCAAATTACCTTGAACTTGATGTGATGGAGCCTAACCGACCCACTCATCGTAATCAGCGCCCCAAAAACCCTTGAATACCATCTTCGATTCCAGTGCACATGCCTAGATAAAATGTTGACCTGTGTAATTTTAACCTCTAAGTGATTTTCAAGGATAAACCCTAAACATTTTCTGATTCCATTCTCAGACATAAAATTTACTTACATAAAAACTAGGGTGTTCCATTTAATATTTTCAAGTTGACCTTGAATTCTTGATATCCTACGACTTTTATCCGAAACTTTTTTTATGGGACACCCTCTATAAAAAATTTGGAGAATCTCGATTAGACTTTCTTACCCTTTTTAGTGCAATGTTTCCTCCTGGTATTTGTCCTGCGATTTTCAAGCTCTCCTTGTTTGCATGGCCCTCTTTTACTTGATGTACAAATACAACGTTGGTATAAAACTTTTTGGAATCGTCTTGTTGCTGATTGGTATAGTTAATGCGTATGTTTTATACCATGCATACACTGTGTATGGTGTAGAAACAGAGGTCACATACTTAGCACGAGCCGAGTGAGTTCTTGTAGCTAAATAAATAAAATTGTATGTTAATAGGTACCTACTTACAAAAAAAATTATTTCTTTGTTACAATGCTTTTAGGGAAATGAATAATGATTTATGTTTCAGGGAATTGAAACTGGACAAATTCATAGAAAACGACTTGCTTTATATCTACCATACCTCGTCTTTTACAAATTTCGGTAGTTATATAGTGGGTGTATTATTTGGGGCAATATATTACCGATATAAAAACGCTGCTATAAAAATAAATAAGGTAATTAACAAGTTTATCATAGTTTAATAGATTTATCTTGAACGGAAATAACAAATATAAAAGAACTGCACTACTACTAAATTTGGCTTAAAACTTTTATAACAAATTTATTTAAAAAAGAAACACTCAATGAGTTTAACTGGAAAGCGTTTAATACACCTTATGTATTTATGAAATAAAGGTTATATTATTATGTTCCATTTGTATAGTAGTCAAGTTTGTTGTATAAAGACCATTATCCGAATCGGTATATAACATCTATATTAACAGAATTATTCGTTTTATAATGGCTGTTAAGTGCATAATCGGTTGTAATCGTAAAATTTCCGCCAGTCCTCTGTGCATCGACTATTGCGCTTCTTCTAGTTGGATGAGCATATACGGTCCAGACACATGTTTTGTGAGATGATCATACCGCGTTGTGTGAAGTGAAAAGTTATGTAAGTCTAACTGTTTTATGGTTTGTAATTGTTTTGTTTTTTCGTATAAGTCTTGATTAAATCTTAAAAATGATTATCTTGTGTGCCCTATTAGAAATCGCTAATGTTAAACTTTACAGAAGATGGAGGAACAGAACGGTGTGACAAAAAGAGGCTGCTTCATTTTTAAGGTGCAAGAGTTATAGTGCAAATTCTCATGTAATACAAGACAATACGGGTGCATCGTTGCTAAGAAGATAAACTGGGCAGTTTTGGGAGCGATTTGTCATCATTTTTAATACTTAAATGTTTGTTATATGTTTACATTAGAATCTCAGCTTATAATTACAGTTGTACAATAAAATTTCTAAAAACTGTATATATATATTTTAACTCGTACAAAGTATACAACAGTTTAATGCATTTATTATTATGAAAGTTATAATTGGTACTAGATGTTCTAATAACGAATATGGAACACTTTAATAAGTTAAACAAATTCAACTACTTACAAAAAACTGTATTAATCAGTGAAAAGATTTTAAACATTTAATAGTTGAACTATTACTATTATTATACTGAATTAAAGTAAGTAACTTTATGTTGGCTTTTTTCAAGACCAACTTAAATATATCTTTCTTTTGATTGCGATAAAATATACGTAAACACCCAACTATTAGGTGAGGATCGTATTACTTTTCCTTTTTTTTTTGTTTCAATACTTAAGTTGAACATTGTAGTTTTCAACTATGTAACATTGTTATTTACGTAAACTGAAGTGTGTTTAAAATTGCTATCTTTAAAATTACATCGATTTTCCTATATTTTGCACTTGTTATATATTTCGTTTAAAATAGACGATTTGTTTTTAATTGACTTTTAATTAATATTAATTTAATTTGATGTTTCCTTTTTCATATCCATTAAGAGTATGACCCTGTATTTTGACACACTGTAGACGATGGTGCCATCAGAAATGCTCTATCAAGTGAGGATTTTTCCCTAACCTCAAAAATAGCTCAAAATTAGTGGAAATCTCGATTTTCTGTTAAAATGGTTAAAATTATGAAATTAAAATACACAGACGTGTTAATAGGGTCAAAAAAGACTTTGTTCCTGCACTTGTTTCTCATAACCAATTTTAAGCATTATTCAAATGCTTATAATTCCTCAAGGATGCATATCCGCCTATGGTTTCTGACATCAAAGACGAGCCATGCGTACCAATTTCCGAGCTCTAATGATTACCTAGCTATATAATAATAAAAATTTGCCCTATAAACGTCAAAATAATTTATCGTATATGCCAAAACATTTACTCCCTTTTCTGCTAATTTAAACAATATTTCGAAATTATTACAATATCGCTTTGGCATTCTTGAATGGTTTTTTTACCTGCTGGGGTTCGTGAAAAAACTCCATTCTTGACTACAAAAGACATGCTTCGTTTTTAGGTCACCACAACGATTTGGATTCTAGGACACTTTGGTCTTCAAGCTTTGGTCGTGACTTTGTCCCTTTACAATTACTCACCTTTTACCGCCGCAGTAATTGGTTCTTTGTTAAAACCTTTATTTTCTGTGGGGATAGGAATTGGCATATTAGGAATGTCCCATAATATAGGCGGTAAGTTTTTATGATGGGAAGTAGCGCTATTGTTTTACAATTTTTTAAGCCTTACAGTTTAACGGATACTATTTCATTTCAAAGGTCTTATGAAGAGGGTGTTTGAAAGCTATCCCTTGGAATTTGTGTCAAGGTGGATTTTTTCTGTTTATATATTCCATCTTCCACTTATATTCTATAGATCGTCAACTTGGACGTATATGCCTGAGTTGTCATATTTATTTCTTGTAAGTACTTTTGTAAGTTATTTATATTTTTAGAACTTTTTAGACGTATTGCATAACATTTAGAAAAATACGTTTAATGTTATAACTAATAAAACTTTGTTTCAGATAAAAATTGTCTCAACAGACATACTCTTGTCGTTTGCACTGGGGCTAATAATGCATTTAATAGTTGAAAGACCTCTGCTGAATATTGTACACATAATAATTACGAAATGGTCACCCAATCCAAAAACAAATTAAATTTTTATCAGCAAAAACGTTTTATTCTTTTAAACCTTTAAAAAATAAACCGTAAAAACTTAAATTTGCGACAATTATGCTAAGGCTGTCAGAGAGAGTCGCAGTTCAATGGCGTAGCTTATAAATAAATCCGTCACTGGGTTCTTCAAAACAAGACACAATATAGGCCAGGAAAATAAGCTACGAGGTTGATGTTTGTGCTCAACGAAGGCAATGTTTTTTATAAGACGTTAACCCGCAACTATTCTGTTTATTTCTGCGTATTAAGGTGGCCATATTCTGGCCGAGAAATAGTGAAATTTCTGGCGTTTTTAGGTACTGAAATCTTTAAAAGTAAAACGTGTAGAACAAAAGTAAGCACAAAAATAAAATCCTTGATGTTTTGTTTATTCATTGTTACCATTTAAATTTACTCAAATAAAATAATAACTAAAAAAAAGCGTTTGTAAAACATGCGTTTGCTGTTATTCTAACCCCACATTTTAAGAATTATTTTCACGTACTTATAAATAAAAGTAAACAATTTTATATGTAGGACTAAGCAAGTAAATGTTATAAGAATATTTACATGTGGAATTATATATAAAAAAGTTAGTATTTTCGTAGATTTCAGTACCTAAAACCTTGATGGTTTGATCGTTTTTTGCACCTGTTTATTCGTTTTACTGCGGCGTCTTTGAAAATACTCAGGTGGCATGACATAACATTCCTATTATTTGATAAGCTTTAGATTATTCAGTTATTAAATGTTTGAAATTATTTGTCTTTGCGGAAAACACTATTTAAAGAATATGGGGCCCTTAAACAATTAAACAATACATTTTCAATATAGAATTATACCTAAATTATAAAATTTATATAAAATTAAAAATCATTTTAAATTGCACAACCAAACAGAAATTTTAGGTGAAGCGGTGCGTCACTTGCGTCACCTGACACACTGGTATGCTTATATCCCACGATAGTTTTAATTATGACTGCTTCTGACGACAAGCGAATTTCGGATTTATCAAACATTTACCATACTTTGGAACCTTCCGTTTTTTTATCGTTTTACACATAAAAAAGACAAAGCAAAAGTCTTTTTTTAATAGTCACTGGTAAAGATAAAATTAGATAATGTTTACTAATCTTAAGTTGTATGTACATATCTTGTACTTCTGATAACTAACATACTTACAATGAAAATACATGCTTACGTTTACGATATCTAATCAATCATAAAGAATATGTTCGTCCTCAAACCAGTCAAGTTCTAAACGTCGTTTAAATACAATGTTCCTTTTCGGGCTACTTTATGTTTTATCCTTGTTTTTAAAATTGTGTACGACAGTCACAATTTCAGGTAGGTATAATTTATTTCATTTCTACAAAAAAGGGGTGTCATTTTTTCATTCCAGACGATGATTACAAATTGCTTCCTCAATTGTATGATATGGACGACTATAATGGTTGTAACAGAGAAAGTAACGAGTATTGCAAAATTAAGCTGGTTCTAATGCCCATTGACAGGAACAGTAAATTGTGGAAGCTCATTGAGGTTTGTGCAAGATAAAACGTCTCCTTATCTGTGACAATTTTGTACATTTTACGTATACAAAATTTGTTCCGACGTAAAATAAATTAAAAAAAAATTATATTATAGTATGTTCCATATTTCTAGATATTTAATTGTGAAAAACTAGAAATTAAAAGTAACATGATCGTATGAATGTCGTATAAGTTCCAAGCCCATATTTATGAGTAAGGCTGTCGGAGAGAGAATGCCTTTGACTTTCACGTTACGTTAGTATACTGTTGCCATTGTTATCGTGTGATGTTGCTTCATTAATTTCTACCCGTTGGTGGTTATGGTGGTGTATTGTAGACAATTTAGTTTGTTGCTTTTTAATAAATAACGCCTATGTCCCACTGCTCAGTTCTAACAGCCCTATTTATGAGTTAACTGTGGCAGAAAAGCAGATACAGGTTCAGCCGGAGTGAAGACATCCACCGATTGCAACTGAAGTCATTTTTATTCATATACTAACTTTTCCCGTTCGTAAAAAAATGAAATCGTGTTTGATTTTATTTTTTTGTTGTAGACTATCGAAAAAGAAAAACTAATCCTGAAACGTGACGTCATATACCGCGCCAAATGCCTTGCTAAGGAATTTCTTTCAGACAGGGAAACCACAGTGGCGCATATCACACAACTGGAAAACAAAAAATTGGAAAATATGTCGCTTCACGCGAAAATAGAAAGCATCAAATGCAAAGAAAATATGCAGGATTTGACTTTAAAAAGCTATTTTGTCTTGTAAGTATAGCAAAGTTGCAACCGGTTTCACAAAAATCATTATTCTTCGAATACAATACGAAACAGATTGTCGCTTCCAAAGTACTTGCGAGAATAGTAAATCTAGACATATTAAAAGATATTTTTTTAGGTGGTTACTCGTGGGTTATTTAGTACTTCTAATTTTCGCGACAGTGGTTGATATATTATCAAGAAAAAATAAGGGAAACCATGCACCCAAAACAAGTATGTAAATTTTAATTCAGTAGATATTTTTAAATTAAAACACAAAAAATATCCAAACTCAAGAGACCCACCATTTCCAAAGGAATTCAATGCGCTAGACGCGATCCTGTAGTAAAAATTCATGACGTCGATGAATTTCGAAGTGAAATTTTTGAGTGAAAACGCCCAAATATGGATCAAAACTGATTTTTTCCTAAATTTTACCCAAATATATCGTTTTCGTAATATTTTGAGATGCTGAACACGTTGCCATCAGTAAAATTTACTCAGGACCTCGATATTTATCAGAAAATCCAAAATTGAAATTAAAACTAGAGGTTTCAAGATACATACTACGAAAATTTGGACAAAATTTAGGAAAAAATCAATTTTGACCCATATTTGGGCCAGTTTTCACACAAATACTGGATTTTCTGAGAAATATCGAGGTCATGGGTAAATTTTACTATACTCCGCGATCGAAATTATAGAGAGTGACTAAGACATAGTATAAATACACTATTACTATAATGCGCATAAAATATAAAATGATTTTTATAACGGTTCAATATTATTTATCTTTGTGCCGCTCACTACGCACATCGATAGAATCTGTCTCAGTCTATAGACTGAGTTACACTGAACGTCGATCTATATTCTATCTCTGTCTTTTGCACTTGGTAGGGAATAGGGAAATTCTTTTTTAGTGGGTGTAAACGGACTTGATTTAGCCGTCCTGAGAAACGTCATAGCATAAGCGTAGACGAGGGGTCTAATTCCATTGCTATAATAAATTTATAAATTAAAAAAACACAACTAGGACGTTTTAAAATGCTGTAATAATTAAAATGGATCAAAGTGCTGGTTATAGCAAACCGTATAAAAATATTAGATGTTATGTTTTATTATCTTTTTTCAATATTTTCTATATCTTGTTGCCTTTTACGCAGACACGCCAATGAATTTTTGTTCCCAGCATGCTTCATCCCCCTTACTAGTCCAAAAGCTAGCGATGAGTCACTCTATAATTTCGACCGCGGAGTATACTCATTGAAGCTGAAAATCCGCTGTAACCTAATTCTTTGAAACTGCATGGATTTGCATGAAAATTTAGAATAAGGCTCATCTTAGGCTCAAGTTCAAAAGTGACATAAGCCCGATTGACGCGTTTTGTTTTTTAGGGGTAAAAACTACCCCGAAGTGAAAAAAATTGAGAAAATTAAGTTTTAAGCATTTTATTGATAAAAATCTTGTTCAAGCACAAAGGTTAAATAATGTTTCATGTTCTAGAACATGTTTCATGATATATTTTATCTTTTCGACCCTTTATTTAACCTTTAAAAACTACCCGTATGCAAAAAATAATGATAAAAAATTACTTTTTAAAGATTTGGAACGATTAAATCGTGCAATTATTTAAAATAAAGGTTACCTTATAGCTAATAGAAGAATGTTTCCCTTTCAACCCCTAACAACCACCCCTATATTGACAAAAATGATAAAAAAATTTCTTTTTAAAAGCTTGGAATACTTTAACGGTGCAATTATTTAAAATAAAAATTCCCTCATTGCTTATGAAAGAATTTGTATCTCATAATACTTTTCAATCCTTATAAGTCACTGTGCTAAAAAAATGATAAAAAATACGTTTTAAATCTTGGAATGCTATAATTGTGCAATAATTTAAAATAAAAATTCCCTTATATTGTTTATGAAAGAATATTTTACTTTTGCCATTTTCAACTCTTATAAACTACCCTTTTACCAATATTAATGTAAAATATTTTTATTATAATCGATTTTTAAATATAATCAATCATAAAAAAAATTGCTACGCTGCATATAAATAATCACAATAAATTTTTTTACTTATTTTATTTGTATAATGTAATATATAATATATAAAAATGAGAAACCCTATTTTGCTCCGAAAAAATGTCATTGGTTTTTTTACCATAACTCGGTTAATTTTGAAGCTATAGTATCCTACAAAAAAGCATTTTAAAGATAATTTCAAGAGCTGTAAGATCGTTTGCATATAAAATATAAATAGATAAGTCTACCTATTTGGACAAAATTTAGGAAAAAATCACTTTTGACCCATAATTCTGCCAGTTTTCATCCAAAAATTTCACTTTCCTCCGAAATTCACCGGCAAGTCATGAAATTTGACTACCATTGGATCGTGCTCAGCGCAATGAATTCCTTCGCAAATGATATGTAGGTCTTTTGGGTTTGGATTTTTTATATAGGTACATATATAGAGTGGCTCTCAATTCGAGTGGCAGTCATCTACAAGGTGCTGCATGGTCAAAATTAAACAGAAATTTCAAATAAACTAAGTCAGCTTTAATTTCATGCGAACCAACTTGAATATAACCTATTGATATCGGACACTAGTTGAAGGATCAATACCAAACACCAAAAGTCAAAAAAAAAATTGATTACATGAACCCCACGTTTGAGCTACTTTTTTAAAAAATGTCGACATTTTTGTCTTTTGAAAAGTACCTCAGAATTGTTCCATCACGTCGAGAAATATCCTACCTTAAAAGTGCAAATAACAAGTTTTCCGCCATATTTGAGGTTATGCTACACCAAGAGGTAATTTTTCTCCACTAAACTCGTTACAACAACTGAATGCACTACTATTGTTCTTCAAAATCCATCTTGAATTGTTCGAATATCTTTTTTGGATATGAAATTGATTTTGAAGAAGAAGAATAGTACTTTGTCGTGATGTAACATACCCTCAAATCTAGCGAAAACCGTCTTTTCCTCTTTGGTGTTATGTCGATTAACCCCGGAGTGAGAAATTCCCAAATCTCCTGGGTTAGCAAATGGTCCTATAGGGGTTGATCTACAAGAACCTTTCATATGATGTCATAATGTTTGAGTGGCATTTAGTTTGGGCCAGTTCATTGGCTCCAAACCATTTCGTTCTGGAAAAAGGAATTTTCTGTCGCCAAATTGTTACCATACTGAGGGCAGTAAGTTACTCTTCAAGATATGCCAATATTTATCTGCATTAATGAACTCACTCTTCCCCTTTTGTCAACATGCATCTTCAGATCGTGACTCCTTGTGGAAGGCTTCCATTGTCGTTCGTATCGCGCGCTTCCGAAAATTCCCAACACACATATCAAACTTGAGTTCATCACTGGAAATTACTGGAGCCCAATCTTCACTTATCCAACGGTTTTTATTTTGCCTTTACGAAAACAAACCTTACTTAAATGTAAAATGTATAAAAGCGCAGTGTATTTTTCGCTTAACACATTGTGATCATGGTGTCCCATGGTCAATTTTTTAACGATATCACGACCAAATTGATATGTGGAAGGGTATTTGAAAAAAATCGTTGTTCCATTCAAAGGGTTGGTTTAATTTTGATCAGAACTCTGTAGCAGTAGGCAACCGAATTAACATTAACATTAACGTATAACATTATATTAAAACAATCTGACCTCTGAATCTTATGTTTGCTAGATATCATCACTGTTCTATCAGTTCTAAGCAACTGGGAATCTTTGAGAAAACCTATAAGGAATACGGACTACAACAAACTAAAGTGTTTGCAAGGTTTCAGGATATTAACCATGTGGTTGGTGGTGGGCGGTCACAGCATTATAATAGCTGGTACTACCTATGTGGCCAACACCAAGATAATAGATTATGTGAGTATCGATATCGAAAGGTTAGATTCAGGGTCAAGTTAATTTATGTAAAATTTAAATTGATAGGCAGCTTGAACCTCCAACTGAACCATAATACACTGTCAAATTTAAGTAAAACAGTTACCCTAAATCAGTAGTTCCCAAACATTTTGAAGTTGTGACCCCTTCTTAAATTAGATATTTTGTGTTAAATGTTAAAAATTCAGACGCACTTTTCAATGAAAACTAATTTTAACTAAAATAGAACTGCACTATTTACATTGTAATAATTGTTCAATTAACTTAACATGAAAGTTGTGTTTATTGCAGATTAAGTTTGTTCAATTTAGAACGACTTCGAACAAATAGATGCTCAAGCGTGTTTCGATAAATATGCTGTTCATGCAGGGTGTTTCAATTTAAACTTCTCACCTGGAAAATATCGGAATTAAAAAAAACAGAAAAAGACACGTCTTTTCAAGCGGGACATATTTGACGAATTGTTGAAGAATGTTGTCAATTAACGCACGAAATGCTTTGAAATATTCGTTAGGAAGTGGAGTAAATATTTTATTATTGTATGGAAGCGGAGGGAAACCAATTTGAACATTTAATAAAATAAAATTCTTTCATGCAGTGATATTTTGTTTTATTCATTAAGTGATTATTTTATTATCGTATCCAAACCAAAAATTAAAAGTCATATTGAAAAAGCTTTAAAATGAAGCGTCACTCAACATAGGGTGCCATTCAAAGTTTAAGGGTATTTTACGCCTCTGCCTAAGGGGTAGCTTCCAAGACACCAAAACTTACGCCATCTTGTGTCCCCCCCTTGAAAATAAAATCAACGTCTCAGGTTTTTTTGTTTTTTTTTTAATTTCAATATTTTCCAAGTGGGAAGTTTCAATCGTAACACCCTGTGTCTTCTTGTTAAGCTTTGTACAAACCTTAACAAACTCGCATGAATTCGCTTCTGTCGTTTTCTTGTAATTAAAAAAGAATTATCTTTTTTAACTTTAACATTCGAAAACGAAGCATTTGTGAACCCATGTTTATAAACAAACTTTTTTTATTTAATTCGTTGCGCAGAACCCTGTATTAAAATTTGACTAAACATCTTAGTTACATCCTGTAGAAAGCTATGAATGTTTAAATTTTATTTTTAAAGATGATTTTAAATTTTCACAGTTTCTATTAAACTTGTTCGGAAGATGTTTGATAAATTTTTCACTTCTCCTGATCCAATCTAATTTTTTGATGTCCGGATGGCTTCGCACCATTCAAATTTACAACGATGTAGAGAAGTCCGATGATAAGAAATTGTCAGTGAACGTGATAACAAAAACGTTGACCGCTAGGTATTTGCGGTAAGTAGCTTTCATTTATAATATTTGCAAATTATTTTTGGAATTTTTTAAAAAATATTCTTTATTTCTCTGCATCTCAGTACGCAACTGTTCACAGACAAATAAAACTATTTTGAATATGAAGCCCCAACATTCAGCTGGGGTGAAATAGTTCATTCAATTCTACTGAATTTTTCCTAATTCTTACGTTTCTTTGTTTACTGAAATATATTTTGACATGTAAAAAATCTATATGGACTATATGGACCATCATCTTTTGTTCTTGAGATATAGGCCTTCAAAGAACGATTTTTTAAAATCAAGTTTTAATCGTATGTTTCCCAAAATAAGAAAAAACGATGTATTGCGTTGGAATTTAGTCCAGGTATATTTTTTAGCGTATTTAATACATCAGTGTTATAAGTTTTTGGAATATAGTGGAGTCAAGATAGCTTAAAATTACGCATTATTTCGAAATAATTATGGGAAGCATGGATTTTCCTAAAACCTTTTGAAATTACTTGGAGATAAGTATTAGAAAAAAGTTATAAACTTATTTTTGTACGCTAATTGTTTTTTAATTGTTTAAACTATAATAAATAGTTTTTTTAAGAACTTTTAAAATAATGCAATGAATTTTTAATCGAATTCTTTCAAATTGACATTATAGGGGTTTTCGATGTCGCTGAACAAGAATATGAAGTCGGAAAATGAAAATTCAAAATTGCGGATCCAATATGGCCGACTATTTTAAACAATTTATTTAACAATTATTGATTTTAAATCAAACTCGCTTAGATTTGTAATATAGGGGTTTTTGACGTCGCTAAACAAGAATATGATGTCGAAAAATGAAAATTCAAAATGGCTGATCCAATATGCTCAACTATTTTAAACAATTTATTTAACAATTATTGATTTTAAATCAAACTCGCTCATATTTGTAATATAGAGATTCGAAAAATGAAAATTATAAATGGCTGAAGAGATTTTATTGAAAATATGTTTTATTTTTTAAAAAACAAATTTATTACAAAATAATTAATTTTTAAATCTCATCGAGTTCTTGCCCTTCTTCAAAAATAACTGGGCAATTAAACTTTAAGCCAATAAAATTGAAAAAAAAAACAAAAAAAGGGATTAATATTCATATATAAATATTAAACTCATACATTTACATGTTTAGCATAAAAGAAAACGAATATAAATACCTTAAATGCAAACTGAAGATTATTTGTAATATTAAGTAATAATATTAGATACATTAAAGAATTACAAGTGTACGAGAGTATAACCTCAAAATGGACAAAATATGTGAATAATACACTTTTTAACACACTGATAACTGCAGCTTACTCGAAAAGATAAAAATCATATTCTTATACCATTTATAATAATAATTATTTAATTCTTATAAACGAAAAACGCTTTTAAAATAAATAAAACTGTAAGTAACAAAAAAATATTTGGTGTGCTCACTGCTTAGCTTCGTCACCCAAA